TTTTAATAGGCAAAATAAAGGTTATGCACTTTATAAAAAAAATAATGGATGAGTCAATAAGCACCTAAGAATATGTTCGACAACCGTTGGTCCTGACAGTAACTACATTCACAGTGAGATATCAGGATACCCTCATGAGAATAACTAAAAGAGTATTAGGTAACATCAATCGTTGGCAAGGATGGAGAGCAACTGGAAAAATACATAAATTTTGTCGTGCTTTGCTGGCATATCAGTGAATACAAATCAGTTTAATGCAATGATTTCTCACAGGAAGGTGAAACTTCTGTTCACTTACAGCGGCCATGTTGAAGTAGTACCTCCTTCCTGGATATTTGTCATCATTTGTCTTCATTTTTATTCTTATTATTTATCCCAACTTTGACTTTATATATTTTTTCAGGGTTTTTGGCCTATCTCTCCTACTAGATCATAAACCCTACGAGGGCAGAGTGCGTACCCAGCACCAGGTACAGAGAAGAAGCTCAAGGAAGAAATTCTGAGTGAATGGATATTTAAACTAATGCATGAATTAACAGAGCAGAAATAGAATAACAATAATTTAAAAATTATGAGGCATTCTGGTAAATGGCAGAAGCACTTTTCTAAAGTCAAGGCAATAATCTTGCTGACTGCTATTTGTTTCCTTGTGGTTCTTCATTCTGGTTTATTTACCAATAAGACTAGTCTGGACAGCAAGTGTTTATTGAGAGGTTACTACATTCAAGGGCCTGTATGTGGGGTGGGAATAATCTGGTTGAGGAGCTCATAGACAGATCTCCAGTTATATTCTGAACCAATGTGAATTATAATAATAATTTGAATTTGAGACACAGGGATGATTCCTTACCTTGACTCATTTTCCTCAATCACAACTTGGATTTGAATAATGATATTGTAATTAAGGACAGGGCTTTAAAGAAATCATTCTTTGCATTCCAAAGATCCTGCTTAGCGGTTTAGTTCTGTTTTCATAAATTGCATGATTGTCAAAATCAAATCTTTTCTGACTTTTTTATTATATGAAATAGAAATTTGTATCAATCTTTATTTCTCTGCCTAATTTTAATTCTCTGTCTATAATACGATGAACACTACACTGAAGTTGTTTTTAGTGTAGTAAATTAGCATCTGACACCATCTCTTTCTACCTATACCCCACTGTTGCTGATCCTACTACTCTGTAATTCTTTAACTCACTCATCCCCACCCTCAGTCTGATACCTAGCTTCTCCAAGGATAGCTAGTGTCATGCCCTCAAGCTATCTTTTTTCCCCCTGAAATTCACAGTGGAAGTGGCTAATGGGCATTTTCTTTTACCACAGATAATATTTCCATCAGTGCATTAGTCAGAAGGCCAAAGAGCATCTCATTTGCAAGAGCAGCACTGAGCATATTTATGAGATTTTACATTGAGTAAACATTGTACTTTGATTTTACAACTTCAATAAAAGGGGCCCTGGTAACAAATAATGTGATAAATTTCAATTAGGAATGCTGCATTTCATCACTTTTTAAAAAGTGATCTTGAATAGAAACTCATAGTTTTCAATATAGTTGGAAAGAGCTGAAGGTCAAAAATAATCAAGGACTCATACAGGGCAGAGAATCATTATCATCTTTTGCAGCTGTATTTTTACAAAAAGATGAGAATTTAAATGGAAATCCATGTCCAAGTTTAGAGGACTCAAACTTACTATCTATTCCGGATAAATGAAATTTTTATAATTGTAAACTCAGGATTGAATCATAGTGCCAACAAAAAAAACAAGAAGTAAGAAGGAAAATAAAGAAAAAAAAAAAAAAGAAGCAGCTTCCCTGTGTGCAATTTTTCTGGAACTCTAAGGAAGAAAGCTGCCGTTTCTTTTACAACTGTGGTTTTCTCACAAATTTCACTCTAATCCTATTCAATTCCATCAAATGTGGGACATTTTAATTCTGCATAATTCTAGTTTCTTAGAGACGACTGCAAAAACCCAGTTCCTTGGGGACAGTCAGTGCTAAGACAGGTCAGAGAACAGAGGGATCCCTGTGGGCAAGAGGCGAGGGAGTGTTGGGAAGATTTTGTAAAAGAGAGAAACCTTGACGAGGGTTTGAGTGGGGTGAACTGGATGGTAAGACAGAACTCTAAAAATGCTTTTTATTTAAAAATATATATATATGTCCAAGGGGCGCCGGGTGGCTCAGTCGGTTAAGCATCTGCCTTTGGCTCAGGTCATGATCCCAGGGTCCTGGGATCGAGTCCCACATCGGGCTCCCTGCTCAGCGGGGAGCCTGCTTCTCCTTCTGCCTGCCGTTCCCCCTGCTTGTACTCTCTCTCTCTCTGACAAATAAATAAATAAAATCTTAAAAAAAAAAAAATCCAATAGACAAAACCCATGGGTAGAAGGAAAAGCTAGTGTCAGACACATTTTCTGACCCAAAGAAACTGTTTACTTTGTGAACATACACTATAATTAAGCAAAATAACATGGGTGATCATGTCCTTTATACAAGCATGCAAAGGACATGCATGTATGTTAGCATTTCTCAAAGTCTGTCCCATGGAACCTGTAGATGTTAAAAGATAAATTCTGGATAAAGAGGTTCTATGGTCAAAATATTTGGAAACCCCCAAGGCTAACGCATAAAATTCTCTTGGGATATTTCAAGTGTCTAGTAGTCCCTATACTGCATCCTGGAAAATGCTGGTTCACATTATGCCATGTGGACTCCATGGAAACCAACCTAGTGTCATTATCCCATTATCTGTCTCTCTCTCTCTCTCTAGTATCTATCTATCTATCTATCTATCTATCTATCTATCTATCTATCTATCTATCTAATCTGTCTCCCTCTATCTATCTAGCAGCTAGCTAGCTAGTTATCTTTTTTTTTATTCTTATGTTAATCCCCATACAATACATCATTAGTTTTAGATGAAGTGTTCCATGATTCATTGTTTGTGCATAACACCCAGTGCTCCATGCAGAATGTGCCCTCCTCAATACCCACCACCAGGCCAACCCATCCTCCCACCCCCCTCCCCTCTAGAACCCTCAGTTTGTTTTTCAGAGTCCATCGTCTCTCATGGTTCGTCTACCCCTCTGATTTCCCCCGCTTCATTCCTCCCCTCCCGCTACCTTCTTCTTCTTCTTTTTTTTTTCTTAACATATATTGCATTATTTGTTTCAGAGGTACAGATCTGAGATTCAACAGTCTTGCACAATTCACAGCGCTTACCAGAGCACATACCCTCCCCAGTGTCTATCACCCAGTCACCCCATCCCTCCCACCCCACCCCCCACTCCAGCAACCCTCAGTTTGTTTCCTGCAATTAAGAATTCCTCATATCAGTGAGATCATACGATACATGTCTTTCTCTGTTTGACTTATTTCGCTCAGCACAATACCCTCCAGTTCCATCCACGTCATTGCAAATGGCAAGATCTCGCTAGTTACCTTCTTAGAGTAGTGCCTGATACGTAGTAAAGAGTAAATATTACCACTACTACCATTATTACTATTCCACGGTGATATAAGTAGCATATGGTAAGGCTTATATTTGAAACCAGGTTTGTGGGTCTCTACACTGAGCAGTAAATTCAACATCCATGTAGACAAAGATATACACTGAGTGATAGAGCATGAGCTTCAGCATCAGACAGATAGAGCTGTGTCTAATGCCAGTAGAAGAGATCATTTATTGTACAACGTGAGTCAGTTAGCTAACCTCTTCAAACCTCAATTCCTTCACTGATGACAGGAGGATGTGAGGACCTGGACTGCAGGGCTGTTATGAATATGCGAGCTGATTTATGTAAAAAGTTCCTATCACAATGATTCTGACAAAATGGTGATCTTCACTAATGAAACTGAATGATGCCCATTAGGGTCATATGGAGGAAGAGGGTGGCTAAAACCCAGCACCCTGAATCCAAATTCTGAGCATCTTAAACTACAACAAAGGTGCACCAGAATCCCTTTTAAGCAAAAGACCATTCAAGTCTATGAAGGCTGCCGGTCACTCCTGTCAGATCCCTGTGCTCATTTGTTATCATTCAAGGCACTCCAAAGACAGTTGGTACAGCCAATGGGCCCTTTGTTGCTGGGGAAGCGTAGCAATCTCCTAAACCTGGTCTGGTCCCCTCTTTTCTGCCCTCCTCTTCTCTCTCTGTAGTGATTTCTTTCTCCTGTTTGAGCTCACATAACTGTCCTGAACAGCATTTGCTCATCATCTTACATTCTATTTTCCTTGCAGTAAACTATAAAAGATGGAAGCTAGAAAGACGGTGGGGGCGGGGGGATGAGGCTAAAGGGAATGCTTCTGAGTAGCAAAGCTCATCTTAATGGCAAATGACTGGCAAACAACTCACTGGCTAGAAAGAAGCTTAGCACTTGGGAAACATCCTCATCATCACCGGCCTGGCTGAGTGGTCTCAGCAAAAGAGAACATTTGAAGGGCGGCTTATCGCCTACACAGAGATCTTGTATTTCCACAATATGGCACTTAGAACTAAGAAAAGAAAAACCAAAACTGAAAATAGGAATTTTTTTCTCTAATTCATTTGGCAACGAAACCAGACCTAAACTGATACAAAACTATTTAGAGTTTTCATCCCCCTTTGTGTTATATTCATTTGCTGTTGTGTCTGATTATGGCATGCTGCCTCGAACCCTACCAGGGTATTATATAACATATGGTACATCTACTGTAATACTTTTCTAAGATATGAAAAAGACTGAATTACAAAACGTAGGTAGCTCCAATGGAATGTAGCTCTGTATAGCCCAAATATCATAACTTTGTATATTTAAAAGTGGGTTTCTTTCCCCCTTCCACAGATTAATGTCTCCACAACCCCCACCCCCACCATCTCCAGATGACCGACCCCTTCTGCCACCTCAGTTGTTGGCGACATGCAGAAATAGTTGAAGCTCATCATCCTAAGTGGTTTTGGTCTCCCCTTTTGGTGCCTTTCTTTTATTCATTTGGTGATTCTTATTTTTTTGCTTTTCAGGTACCCGGGCTCTCTACCCCCAGGACCAGTCTCCATCCATTACTCTACCAACTTGCCTGGAATCATGGTGTGAAAAATGGTACCAGAACTGTTACCGAGACAGCTGTCTTTTGGGGGGGAAATAAATTCTTGCGGGGAAGAAAGTGAGGAACTCAAGTAAGGAAATGAAGACATTAAGCTGTGCTGCATGAGGAAATGAGAGAAATTTGTGTTTTGGTTCTTGAGAGGCCTGGAGAGAAGAGCAGGAGAGACAAAGGACCAAGTTGAAGAGAAGAACAATTTAGGAAGGGGATTATAATGGGGATAATTAACAGTGAAACATCCCTCAGCCAAAATAACTTTGAAGGTTAGAGATATCTAAAATGTGATTTTAGGTTGTTCATCTGATACATGATGTGACTACTAAAACTTTTGTGACGTCTATGCCATGGATGTTTTGTGAAAGAGGAGTTTGGGTATATGTGTGTGTGTCTCCATGTGTTGTGCATACATATCAAGGAAGGGCTTGGTTTTCCTCTGTGTCAATGTGAGAACGGGGACACTCTGTACTAAAAGGCCACGTATAGCCCAAAGACAGAAGTACCATCAAAGCATCCGTATCTCTGTATATAGAAAAAAATAGCTCAAAACGGATTCAGGATATTCACAGCGTTGTGCATTCTTTCACAAATTCCAGAACATTCTCACTACCCCCAAAAGAAACCCTGTACCAGTCAGTTAGAAGTCAGTGTTCATTTCCCTCCTTCCCCGAGCCCCTGTCAAACCCTAATCTACAATCTGTCTATATAGAGTTGCCTCTATGAATACTTCATTTAAACCAAATCATACTATATGTGGCCTTTTATGTCTGGTTTCTTTCACTTTACCATGATGCCATCCAGATTCATTTATGTTGTACCATGTATCACAAGTCTATTCCTTTTTATGGCTGAATAACATTCCATGGTATGGTATTCCACATCAATTGATGGGCCTTTGGATCGTTTACATTTTCTATAATGAATAATACTGGTATCAACATCCATATACAAGTTTTTGTGTGAGAACATACATTCTCCATTCTCTTGGGCATATACCTAGGATAAGAATTGCTAAGGGATATGGTAATTCTGTATTTTTAAAAGATGAACTTTGGGCGCCTGGGTGGCTCAGTTGGTTAAGTGACTGCCTTTGGCTCAGGTCATGATCCTGGAGTCCCGGGATCGAGTCCCGCATCGGGCTCCCTGCTCAGCAGGGAGTCTGCTTCTCCCTCTGACCCTCCTCCCTCTCGTGCTGTCTCTCATTCTCTCTCTCACAAATAAATAAATAAAATCTTTAAAAATAAATAAATAAATAAAAGATGAACTTTATGGTATGTGAATTCTCTCTCTACAAAGCTGCTGAGTAGCTTTAAAAAGAGCTTCAGTGCTCCAGGAATTTTTTAGGTTTTTGAAGAGATCTTTGGACTTGTACCATTGCAGATGTGTTTTGTTTTGTTTTTTTTCCCCTCCATCTCCAGGGGCAGAGAGACCCTGGATGATACCGGCTCACATCTGTAAGTAAGGTTTCATCTAGTGTCATTCAGCTGGACGCCCAGTGTGATCCACCATTATTATTGTTTCCTATGAAAACTCTGCTATCCTAAAAGATTGGAAGCGTGGACGGAGGTTACACATGACTTCTGCCTTCTCATGTCCTGATTTGGAATCTAATCCTTACATAAGCTATAAGCATCCTCTTGCTACCTCGTCACTGATGTGTGATATTTGTATAATACCTTTGGTTTTTAAAGCACCTTGGCATTTATACTTTCAATAATAATGATTATTTCCAATGTAAAAATACAAAAACTGGTGCCTAAGTCAGATTTTAAGAGACACAGGCAGGAAGCAACCCCAGAATTTGAGTCTGCTGCATGAGAGCCAAGAGTCCCCTTTACACCGTACTATGTACAACCACTTCCCAACTCAAAGGGCTGATTGATCACATCAGGGACAGGTTTTAGGGGGTTAATATTAGCAGGGGCCTCTCCTTCTTAGTCTTCTTATCATGCTGACAAGGCCACTGCTTACTCTGCTTACTTTAGCTGAGTTAATCTAAGTACAAGGAGTTCCCATTCAGTTGGGAATGCATTTAATTTCTAGTAGAAGTGACTCATGCAAGTGTACTCCTCCTTATGTGGTCCTCCCATTGATTTCTGCCCACCTGACATCTCAAACCTTATCAACTATACCTACACGGGAAAGTAGTAACTGTCAGGCAACTAATATTGGGCACGTTATGAGACACTTACATTTTTCTGAGCTTATCTATGTATTTAGGTCCCTCTCACTAACCTCAAATGTATAGATTTTTTTTTAATTTAAATTCAGATAAAACTTACAGCATTTTAAGAATAAGAAATAAAAATACTACACTTAAGGGATCTGATTGGTGGCATCTCTTCCCAGTTCCATATTGTGACGTCCTGTTGGGAGCATTACATCAGCCACAGTGTGAGTATTTACACCAGGGGAACTGGCAAATGATACAAATTAGGGTCTCCATCCATTCCCCTGACCTGGGTATTAAACATCATCCATCTGGTTATTAAACATTTACTGCACACCACTGGGTGAAAACTATCTCCCACTGGAAAGAATTTAAAAACCCAGACTAACATCACTGGAAAAGGACTACTAATTATAACAAAGACATCACTGAACACAGTTTTTAAATAAAGTTCTACAAATCACACAGCACAGACCTGGTCAGTTGCAAAGACATGGTAAAATTCCTCACCAATGGACAAAGAATTTTATTAAAGGGGTTGATGCCTAAAAGGATAATATTTCCCAGTAAGTTAAATGAGTTATTATTCACAAAATGCCTGGCATAGAGTCAGTGAGGTACATAGGTGTACTACATAAATAAAAAGGAATGATATAGATGTTATGAACTGCCTACCAACCAAAGGAATCAGCAGGCTAATCCTGAAAAGTATTCCAGTCATCAGGGTTTGAAAGCAAATTCCTTCTCTTTGTGCAGCATGATAAATTTACTGAAGCTTTTCACATGCACTATTCTTTTTGAGTGATATTAACCATTCCCAGACATAAATGAGAAAGGTTTGTGTGTGTGTGTGTGTGTGTGTGTTTGTTTTTAACAAGAGAATTGTGAAATTCAGGGAAGGTTAATAAATGTTCATAAAGACAAAAATTCAAAATTGATCGCAATTCCACAAGAGTGAGAGACCATCCATGTCTGTTAAAAAAACTCCAGCAACGTGGGATGCCTCGGTGGCTCAGTCGGTTGAGCATCTGCCTTGGGCTCAAGTAACGATCCGAGGGTCCTGGGATCGAGTCCCACTTTCGGCTCCCTGCTCAGCGGGGAGTCTGCTTCTCCCTCTGCCTGGCACTCTCCCCCTTCTCTCTCTCCTCTCTCTCTCTGACAAATAAATAAATACAATCTTAAAAAAAAAAAAAGAAAGAAACTCCAGCAACAGAATTGTTGAGCCATTTTGCTGTATCAAGGTACTCCTATTTCAAAATGTGCCTTCAAGAGTAAGAAATAAGAGATGAATTTAGGATCCTGTTGGGAAAAGAGCTTGTTTACTCGCACCACAGCCATTCCTAGGAAATACTTCGTGGAAAAACCTACAAAGTTATGAACATCTTAATGCGCCTCTTGGAACACATACAGAATACCACCCAGGGCTTTAAGCCAGAGTGTATTTTATTCCTATCAGTAAAAACTAGGTGTGTATACATACAGTTATCTAACATCAAGTAGTCACAATTTCTGAGGAAGTTTCTTGAATCTGTGGCAGGGGATCGACGCCATGCAAGCCCTTTGGCCCAGGGAACCTCTCAGGGACGACTTCCCACTTGCTGGAAGGCAGCTGCAGCTCAAAGGTTAAAGATGCTGTATTCAGCTGTGTTAGCATCACCCGGGAGCTTACTCCAGCTAGCCGCCTGCCCTATGTTGGCCAGCCTTCCTCTCAGGAGCCAGCATGATATCATGGATGGAACAGAGTCTTCGGAATCAGATAAGCTGGGGTTAAATTCTGAGTCCGTCATCTTCTAGCTATACAACTTTGGGCACGTGACCTAACTTCTCTGTGCCTAGGGTCCTCATCTGTAAGAACATGGACATCTTCATGAGCTTCAGGGTTCCTTGAAGATCATTTAACCAAATGATCAGGCACAGTACCTAGGACACATGTCTTAGTTTCCCCTCTTTCCATCCCTCCTCCCCCAAGCCTGATCTCCAGTCCCAGCCTGAGACTGAATCCAGGGGGTCTCTTTCACTGTGTCCAGCACACAATTTCAGTACAATTACTTAGTGAGAGGCCATCTCCTTCCAGGGCAGAGCCCACAAGCCATGGCGAGATTCCCCGGACAAGAAGAAGGAGAGCACAGATAGGCTCACATTCTTGGCGAAGAACAACTCAGCAGGAGACATTGGTCAAGAAGGAGCGAGGTGAATTAAATATTATCCTGTGAGCCCAAACCGCAGGGGGTGAAGAGTTTGTCCCCTGTGAAGGCAAACACAGACCAGGGAAGCTCAACTTCTTCCAAGGAGGTCACCACAGCTGGTGATTTCTTAACGAGATTCACAAACAGCCACACACAGGTAAAGTTCTCAGGACACCAGGGCCCTGGGCAGAACGTCCAAAGTACAAGTTCAAGTCAAGAGATTCAAAAGCATCCTAGCTCATCCCAGACGGCAAATGTTCTCAAAGCACGGGATCCAGCCACAGGGAAATGAACAGAAAAGGTTTCTTTTTTTTTTTTTTAAGTTTTTATTTATTTATTCATTAGAGACAGAGAGAGGCAGAGGGAGAAGCAGGCTCCCAAGGAGCAGGGAGCCCGATGCGGGACTCGATCCCAGGACCCTGAGATCATGACCTGAGCCGAAGGCAGACGCTTAACCATCTGAGCCACCCAGGCGCCCAGAAAAGGTTTCTAAATCAGACGGTTCCTGGAGATTCCTAGGTATGCTACAATTTGCAAGCAGCTTCTAAAGAAGTTCATTTCTTTGAAAGCGCTTCTGTCTTTACAAAGGTAGTGTATGCAACGGTAAAGGGCATGGAATCTGAGAATCAGATTGTCTTTAACGCCTGCCTCCTTCCCTTAGAAGCTGTGCAGCCTTGGGCAAGTCAACGCAACCCCTGGGCCTGACTTTTCTCCTCTGGAAGTGTATGGATAAGAGTCTCTGCCTCCCTGGATTATGGTGAGGACTGAATGAGACAATGCCCTGTGTACTGCGATGTAATGGGTGCTTTGTCAACAAGGTATTTTTTTTTTTTTTTTTTTAAAGATTTTATTTATTTATTCATGAGAGACAGAGAGAGAGAGAGGCAGAGGGAGAAGCAGGCTCCCAAGGAGCAGGGAGCCCGATGCGGGACTCGATCCCAGGACGCTGGGATCATGACCTGAGCCGAAGGCAGACGCTTAACCGACTGAGCCACCCAGGCGCCCTGTCAACAAGGTATTAATACCAAAAACTCCTTGCCTGAGAACGAAGGGCCCTTGGTACTGCTGCTGTTGAGCACTTGGCAAACCTCTGAACGATCCTTTTGAATTGCGACTTTCTCATTTGTGAATCACCCTAATGTGATTCTCCTTT